AACGAAACACAAACTAACTCACAGATACAGAAAACATTTTGATGGTTGCCAGATGGGAGGGGTTTGGGGGTGTGGGTGAAAAAATGGGAAGAGATTAAGAAAAATATTGGTTGTTACAGTGTAATCATGGTGATGTAGAGTATAAGGAATATAGTCAATAATGTAACAACTATGTATGGTGTCAGATGGGTACTAGACTTGTTGGGGTGATAGATGGGAGAGGGGTAAGGCCAAGGTGAAGGCATTAAGAAGTACAAATTGATAGTTACAAAATAGTCATGGGGAAGTAAAACATAGGGAATGTAGTCAATAATGTGGTAATAACTATGTATAGTGCCAGGTGGGTACTAGACTAGTCAGGGGAATCACTTCTTAAATTGTAAATGTCTAATCATATGCTGTGCACCTGAAATTAATATAATATTGAATGTCTAATATAATATTGAATGTCAACTATAATTGATAAATATAGAAAGGGGGAGAAGGGGAAAGGGAATAAGAGGTCCAAATTTCCAGGCATAAAACAAATAAGTCATGGGGATGTAATGTACAGCATAGGGAATATAGTCAATAATATTGTGATAGCGTGGTACAGTGTCAGATGGTTGCTGGACTTATCATGGTGACCACTTCTTTAGGTATATACATGTTGAATAACTATGGTGTACCCCTGAAACTAATAAAATAGTGTATGTTAGCCTATATTTTTAATCAAAATATTTTTTAAAAATTGAATGGTCTCTTATATTATGCCCAAGGCCCTCACCCTTATAATTTCAAATGTGACCTTAGGCAAATCCCATCGCCTTTTCAAAGTTCTGCCGGTCAAACATGGTGTTTGTTGGCTCTAGAAGGAGAGGTGGTTTGGCGTTTGTGGTTAAAAACATAGACTTGGCAGCTATAGATTTGAATCTCAGCTTTAGCGCTTCTTTGTTATGAGAACTTGGGGATAATTAACTTGTCCTCTCTGAGAATAATTTAGGCTTTGCAAGCCATACAGTCGATATCGTGACTCTCTCTCTCATTGTATGCAAGTGGCCATAGAAAATACATAAACTGTGGCCCAATAAACCTCTATATACAGAAACAGGTGGCTGGTTTGATTAGAGTTAGACCTATACTATAGTTTATAGACCCCTGATCTACAGGACAGAAACAATATCACTCGCCTTCAAGGGTTGCTGTTAGAACTAAGTTGGTTACTACCTGTTTATTGCTAGGTATCAGTAGACAATAAGTGGAAACTGCTACTATTGTTGTTATTTCTAATGGTATTCCAACTTAGTCTGTGACTATGGATCTACGGCCCTAAGACTTTCTGGATGGACAGAACAGGTTTCCCAGTTGAAAATAACTTTTCTGAATGAAGATCTATGTTTGAGGAAACGTGATAAGCAGGAAACAGGGAGCTTTCTGTAGCTCTCCACCCCAAGGGTTCCATGTTGCAAGGGCAAACTAAGCTTATCCCAGTGTGCAGATGATCTCATTTCCAAACAATAAATAGGTACAATTAAGATATAATGACCTAAAAAAAAAGATATAATGACCTAATATATAACGTTATGCTTCTAACTGCTGGTGCACATTTTCCTTTAGTGCGGTGGTACCTTGTCTACTTAACGTTTTAACATCCAATCAAAGACATGCATTTCACGTTGAAACCAACTGTTCAGAGTTGAAAAGCTTGGACACTCTCTCACCCTATATTATCTTAACACAACTGAAGGTAAAGGTCATTACACGAAAGCTCCAATAAAACAACTATGCTGCACAATTTTTTTTTGTTTTTTTTTAGTAAGGTTGTTTTACATTACTCTTCAGCATCTTGGGAGTCTGTTTGGGGTGATAAATGCGGGCTTTGGATCATCTTGTACACAAGCAGCTCAGAACACAATGACAAGTGGTGACAAGTGATTTGTCCCTACTCCTGCTTCCCACCCCTCCCCCAAATCATAATCTCAGCCTAAATTCTTGGACCTACTCAGTAAAATAAAGCATTTCACATTCCATCTAACTGAACTTCAACGCACATATTATGCCAAACCTGTTAAGGAAAAAAATCAGTAATAGAAGTTGACATTAGGGCCTACTGAGTGGCACATTGGTTAAGAGTTGGCTTGGGGGGCCGGCCGAGTGGCGCGATGGTTAAGAACTGGCTTGGGACGCCAGAGGGCCCCAGTTCAGATCCCACATATGAGGGCCAGTGACACTGCCCTCTACAGCTAAGATGCTGAACAGCAGCTCAACCTGGAGCTGAGCTGCCGTGAGTCGCCGGCGATGGCGTAGGCTGCAGCCCCTGTGGCAGTGGGTTGCCATGAGTTACCGTGTGTAGCCAGCAGCCAGCAGGAGCAGCTAGCAGCTGCAGTGAACGGCCATCCAGAAGCCGGCGACTGATCTGCCTCGCCGGGAAAGAGCGCAATGATGGTGCCAACTTGGGCCAGTGAAGCAACGTCCTCCACAGATAGACTGAAGAACAAAATGACAGCAACTTGTCTGTTCCCCTTCCCCCAATTCCCCAGCACTGTTCCCATCCCCCCAATTCCCCAATAAAAATCTTAANAAAAAAAAAAAAAAAGTTGGCTTGGGATGCCAGCTCTGAGCAGCAGGGCCCTGGTTCAGATCCCACATTAGGTCCAGTGACACTGCATCCTCTACAGCTAAGATGGCAAACAATAGCTCGACCTGGAGCTGGGCTGCCATGAGTCGCCTGCGACGGCGTAGGCTGCAGTGGGGCTGGCCAGCAGCAGGCGTGAGCTTTAGTGAGCTGCCGTGAGCCACCGTGAGCGGCTGTCCAATGGCTGGCAACTGACTGCCTCACCCGGGAAGAGTGCAATGATAATACCAACATGGGCCAATGAAGTGACATTTTCCACAACTAGACTGAAGAACAAAAGGACAGCAACTTGTCTGTTCCCCTCCCCCAATTCCCCAATAAAATCTTTAAAAAAAAAAGTTGACATTAAGTAAACTATATTTATTTTATTAGCTTATAAATTAAATATTCACATTTGCTGATGTTAATAAATTGTTCTAACTTGAAAACATATAAATCATCAGAAAATATCAGTATTTTACAATTACAATGGTGAATGATAACAGAATAGAAACACTTTTGACAGAAAAAATGAGAAAGGGCACGATTATAAAATGCTGTGGCCTTTCACTATGAAATGGTATGTCACAAACAAAGCAGATTTATCGGTCTGCATGAAAGCTGTCAATAGAGGCACTGAGGCAAACCACTGCTATATCCCATGGATCGTCATGTGGGATGCAACACAGGAAATGAGGCAGGAGAGAGAGGGACAAAATGTTTCGACCATTGATGATGCTGGTGCCATGCAAGATTTTAGGTTGATAATATTGTTCATATTTTGGCAAAAATAATTATAGTCAGGTAATAAGACATCCAAATTATTAGGACAAATAATTATTGAATAGCCGGATAACCTATGTTATTTTAGCTTACTTAACAATAGTCAACATATCAATAACTCATTTTTAACTGTTATTTACCTTTAGCACCCATTTTTATATTATACTATTTTCTATGGATGGTCCGAGTTTTCAGATGGCCGTATTTGTGTTCTTCCTGATTCCTGTTGACTCTAGAAGATTATGCACGCCCATAAGCTTTCAGAATCTGTTAGTTGATAAAACACCACACATAACATTTTTAACCTGTTGACATTTTGCATCGATGTTAGAAATGAGTTGAAATTTTATGTTGACGCAGTTATACAGACATACCAAACTGTGCATACACATAATTGCTGCACACACACACAGTGTTAACCTGTGTCCTGTCACTGAAAACGTGGCTGGGAGTGAAGTCTGGAAGTTCAGGCAGACACAGGCAGAAGGAGCCCAGCAGAAGCACGTGCCCTCAGCCGGCCTGCCAATCACCCTGCCAGCTCCCTAGCAGGAGGGCTCCCGGGCAGGCAATGAGGCCTGGGTCTCTGACCAATTAGATTTTTGCTCTGTGTTTGGACTAAATTCAGGCACAATATTGACAGGCTTGTCACCTGCAAGGAATCAGACTGCATTTGATTTTACAGATGTCCCTGGAAATCTACTACTGAGTATTAAGGGAGCGTGGATGTGGGTTAAAATCTGGTGTGATGTAGTACAGGTCTAATAAAAAAGGGGAAAAAAAATCTGTCACTAAGCTATGGCTATGGAACCACTCCAGAAGAATTTAGGTGGGGGGGGGACAGCCAGGGCCCACCTCTTCTGCATCATTTGGGAGGTCCTGCTCTATCACCGGAGTTCCAAGTGGAGGCTGCCGGGAAGAACTAAGATTAACAAGGTGATGGGAGGTTGAAAACCACTTTGCTCTGTAGCCTAAAAGGAATCATTAGATTATTCGCTGCTATGCATTCATTGTCTGGGGTGAGTAATCATCATTAGAGAGCGCAAGAAGAAAACAATTTTTAAATAACCCTTCTCAGGGTAGCATTTCTTCCCCTAAAACTGTACTGTTTTTACCCCTCTGCCAAGTTAACAGAATATAAACATTGCTTAGGTTTTTTTCACTCAGTTACCCACAGCCTGTGTTCTGAAAAAACCCCTGTTGTGAATGTGGTAACATCCACATTTCCTTTGGAGAGGCAGCATCCTTCTAAGAAATGCTTGTAGGTTTATTTGACAAGGTCAAGTCCTGGGAGGTTGGAGTCTGGGCAAGGTCTGCAAGCACAATGCCGACCTGCTCTGCTCTCCAGCCGTGCCTCGCGGCCAGAGAAGAGGGTGTCATCATGGGAAGACGGAACCTGGTATCCTGGGCCCACTGGATGGGCCACTGAATAGAAACTTCGAGGAACAGAGTGGGGAAGGGAGCTGCACTCACCAGGAATGCCTCCTGTGCCACTGCCCCTCCCAGTTCCCTGTGGGGACACAGGGCCACCTGCTCCATGAACAGAGTCAGATGACACCCAGCAGGAAAAAATTCAAAAGCCTGGTTCCCTTTTCCAATGCCAGATAAAATAGATATGTAATAAAAAAACTGCTAAAAATCATTTATTGTTTGTTTCTACACAGCAGAAGCCTCATATGGGTGTCAGGTGGGGAAGACGTGGATGGCGGGGCTTCCTGTCCGGCAGCCCTTGTCACCATGACGGGACTGCGGACTTAGATTTGCTGCATTTGTGTGCAAATACTCTATGATTTTCAGATGCTCCTGGAATCAGCAAAACCTCTTCTTCCTTAATCAAAGGAAACAAAAGACATTTGGACATGGGAAAAACACGCAGCCATGCCACCACGCCTCTGCAAGTAGGAAAACATTCCCCTAAAGGTGACTGCCTCTCTCGCTTTTTTGGTGTGCTTTCCTCTTGCGGAGCTTCCTCTGGAGCTGAAACTTGTTGGTGAAGAACATCTGTCTCCAACCCATATCCTCAGCCAGGGCCCTCATGTCAGGGGTGATGCTGTCACAGGCGGACAGAACTATCGGCTCCCACAGTTTGTCAGACATGCACAGCTATGGGTGGAAAAAACCAGAAGTGGGTTACATCACAGGGAAAGTCATTCGCTCACTCACGAAATCGTTACCCAACTTCTGCTATCTGCGAGACTCTGGCGGAAACACTACATGTCCTAAGATGTGCCATACACAGTTCCTGCCTCCAGAAATGCCCTCTTTGAGGAAAGTGGCAAGTGCACACATGTCTAGAGGGCAAAGCAATATTTGATTAATGGGATAAATTCTGATCCTTTATTTAAGATGCGAAATGCAAGGTAGTTGCATTTCAAACAAACAAAACATGATATAGTTCATTTCCAATTAGACAAATAAGAGAGGCTGATAATGGTGTGGACACCCAACCCTCTCTACTGAGCACCGCATTAGTTTCTCAAGTGGGAGCATTGCTAATTCCTGCTAAATTTGCATCCACTTTAAACTCTCACTAAATCCATCTCTCCCCTGGGCCCAATTGGAGAGCTTACCACTTAGTCCACCGCAGGCTACTCAGCGTTGAGCTGCATCAAAATAACCCAAACAGCCCTGGGAGACTGCCAGCTGGCACATCAAAAATCACCTGCTCCCAGTGCCAGGAGTTTTGCTGCGAGTACTTTGCACACATGACATCACACCACGCACCAGGGTGGCCTACAAGATTGGTCTATTCCCCGAGCCCACCGGGCACATGGCAAAGTGAGCCATTCTCCAGGAACGACCTTCTCTGAGATGTTCTTCTGGGGCTTTAACCAAGGGCCGTGAAGTTAAGGATAGACAAGACCCCTCTGGCCCAATAACTGCACAAAGCCATTTTCCCATCTTCCAAGTTCAAAGCTGCCCAAGTCAGCTTCCATGTACACAAGATTTCCTAATACGACTTTTTCAGGTGGCACTGTTACTTATGGCTACTACTCTCATCAGTCCCCTGAGACTAAACCCTTACCTACCACACCCCCAAATCCTTCCTGAAGGCAAAGCTTCTGTTACACTTACTTAGTCTCCTGATTTTGGTGACAGCCATGGTTTTTTGGTATATGCAAGAATAGGCACATTGAAAGATGCTTGGATATTTGATGCTGCACAGTGGCAATACAAAAAGTGCTTTAAGAAGGGTTCTGCGTGGGCATCCGAGACAGACGCTTCCTGGCTCCATCCTTCCTTTGCCAATAACCTGATTAATCACCAACCTAGTTTCCCCTTTCATCGGTTCCTTGCAATGGTCAACATACGTGAAAAAGCAGAAGTGGAAAGAGCTAGACATGGAGAAAGACCAAAAAGAAGCCCACAGTTCCTTTAAACCAACGGTGCTAGGACACGCTGGCCGGGCCCCTCCTCCACGCTCACAGCCCTGACCGACCCGTCTGTAGGAACCGCCACAAAGACTTCTCTTACAAGGCGGCAAAGGAAGGCAAGCTAAAGGGATCCTCAAAGGTCAGTAATGGTGGGAAACAAGGTTCACTGTGGATAATGATCAGTGCAGACTGTGAATAACAAAGACCATTGTTCTGATTGATATGATAAAAATTAGGCTGAACTCATTATTTTCACTATTTAAAATTTCTTTTTAGGGGGCAACTTTACCACTTAAATAGGAGAAGCAGATAGGCCTGGCAAAATTCCTCAGATTCTGGACTACTGACTCCAATTGTGCTCTGTTGACAAAGGCTTAGGGTTGGGGGGACCTGAACCTCTAAAAACATAGGCAGATAATGTCCAAGAGGAAAAAGCTAAAACAGCTGTCAGAAACCAATGTGCTTAAATCTGTGCACTATATTATGTGGGAAAGGCCTTCACTCAAGATCTAGTCACTCTTGGGCTGGCCGAGTGGCGCGATGGTTAAGAACTGGCTTGGGATGCCAGAGGACCCTGGTTTGGATCCCACATATGAGGGCCAGTGATACTGCCCTCTACAGCTAAGATGCTGAACAACAGCTCAACCTGGAGCTGGGATGCCATGAGGCGACGGCGCAGGCTGCAGCCCCTGTGGCAGTGGGTTGCCATGGGCTACCATATGTAGTCAGCAGCCAGCGTGAGCGGCCAGCAGCCACAGTGAGTGGCCGTCCAGAGGCCGGCGACTGATCTGCCTTGCCTGGGAAGAGCACAATGATGGTGCCAGCTTGGGCCAGTGAAGCAACATCCTCCACAACTAGATAGAAGAACAAAACGACAGCAACTTATCTGTTCCCCTTCCCCCAAGTCCCCAGCACTGTTCCCATCCCCCCAATTCCCCAATAAAATAAATAAATTTAAAAAAAAAAGAAAAAAAAAAGATCTAGTCACTCTTCCTCTCCTTAGGGTTCATTTTAGTTCAGTGCACAGTTTTAGGCCCCAGCAGTTTAGCCACAGCTAACTAAGAAGGGTGATTGACACTATCAGAGGCAGAAGAGTACAAGCAGAGAAAAATGACAGGTGAGAAACTAGCATTAAGGGAAGAAATGGAAAAGAAGAGTGAAACACAAACTAAAATTACTCCAGTTGGGGCCAGATAAGCTGCTCCCTAATTTTCAGTAGCTTATTCATCCGTCCATCTATCCAAACAGTATGGAATGCCTAATGTGTTGGGCAGGGCTCTTGGTTTCAAACCACAGAATGTATTCTAGGTTGTTTAAGCAGAAGGGGAGTCAGCAGAGGCAATAAGTCGCTCACAGAATATCTAGTAAAACCAGAGGGAAAGGTTCAATGCCATACAGCCAGGAAAAACAGCAGCTAGATTTAAAAAGAAAACAAAACAGAATACCCAGACTGTTCTGGTAGAAATCTCACTGCTTCTGCGTCACAACACTTGGCACCTAGGAAGCAGTGGTGTCTTGCACCAGACACTAGAACCTGTCCCATATGCCTCCAGCACTGTGCTTGCAGGAGCCGGTCTCCATGTGCATGGGGCTGCTTCACCTTGCTGCTGCATTCCTTCCCGGACTCTTGCAGGTGGGTCTACGTGGCAGAGCCTAGGCTACATCCAACACATTAGTTGCAAAAGCAGTTTTTATCTTTCTAAACTTCACAGTACACAAAAGCAACGCCATCTAGCAAAAGGGAGTTAAAAATGGACGTCGAGCAAGCCACTCGGCAGCATCCTTTCAGCCTGACCTCTGGCTGTTCTCCTCTACGCAGACCCTTCCTCTGTCCTGCTTTGTTTCCTTGGATCCTAACTTCTTTCTGTGAAGGCGAAAAACGTGCAAGCGTTGCCTCTATTTTGTGACTCCATTACACTCATTTTTAAGGAGAATGCAACCAGTACTCTTTACTTTCATACTTCATGCTCCTCTAAAAGTACTCTAACAGCAAAAAAGAATGAATTACAAATAGAAATGAACAGTAGGACGAAGCATAATCAGTTAAAATCCTTTTGGCTTAAGTTGCAGAGCAAAAGCTATTACATTCCTATAATGGTTCCTGTTAAGCAGCAACACTGAGCCTTATGATAATGACAGCCCTCAAAACATTTTGATGTTAGGCAGGTCATCTATTATCTTATCCCATCGTCAGCAGTCCTTCAAGGTCGAATTTCTCTGCTTGGATTGCAACACATTCTAAATAGAAACAACAAAGGAAAGCTCTTTTAAAAATGTCTTAATTTTTGAGCCAGCCGAGTGGTGCGTTGGTTAAGAGCTGGCTTGGGACCCCAGCTCTGAGCAGCAGGGCTGCGGTTCAGATCCCACATGGGGGCCAGTGACACTGCCTTCTACAGCTAAGATGGTGAACAACAGCTCAACCTGGAGCTGGGCTGCCGTGAGTCACCGGCAACAGCATAGGCCGCAGCCCCTGCTGCAGTGGGCTGCCATGAGCTGCCGTGAGCGGCTGTCCAGAGGCCAGTGACTGATCTGCCTCACCCAGGAAGAGCGCCATGATAACACCAACATGGGCCAGTGAAGCGAAGTCCTCCACAACTAGACTGAAGAACAAAAGGACAGCAACTTGTCTGTTCCCCTCTCCCCATTCCCCAATAAAAATCTTTAAAAAAAATAAAAGTCTTAATTTTTAAAAACAAAACAGATCTTCTGAACCTCCTTTAAAAGATTTGAACTCTAACACTACTGTAGATGATCATCCCATTTCCAGTAAATACCTTCTGGGATATCAGTGTGTCTTACATAATGGAGATTATGGGAGAAAGGGAGAAGGTTTGGGGAAGGGAAAGAATTCTCAAGAGAACTGAGATTTCCTCCAGTGTAACTTCATTTATCATTTATTTTGTACTGAAAATATTTAGAATTTTGTTTTATATTACAAATTGGTCTACAAAATGCCCCCCACCTAAGTCAGACTGGAAACCCTGGGACTCCTGCTTGGTAGACACCGGGTTGCAAAGCACCGCAAATTGTGGGCTTAGCGCCCCCTGGCGGTGGTGCATGAACTTAACATTCATAAAAAGAGAAGTGCTCATCTAGTGAAAACGTTTCCTTTTACAAACGTGGAAATTAAGGCTGAGAGAGGATACGGGTGCAGCACCCCACATTGCCTGTACATAGTGAAGATGGGAAAAACCCCTCCCCACTCCAAGTTTCCAGCCTTTGAGAGTCTATTGAGATATTTATCTGTACAGCTTTAATATCAGTGGGTCAAATTCTTGGACTGGACTCTTAGAATTGGGGTGCAGTCAACACAAGGAAACACATTAAGATCACAGATGCTAGGTCCACCTCGGACCTACTGAATCAGACAGTCAGGGCGTGGGCCTGGCATTTCTATCTGCACCTGCTCCCCCGGTGCTCTGTCCCCTTGGCCAGACTTGAGAACCACAGTCATAGGAAGTCTGGGGACATGAGGAAAAAAATGTATTTCTCCGTAGCCAAAATCTGACAGAGGAGAGATCTTCTTCCTCAGTGTTCTTGAGTCACGACGGAGTCAAGTGTGTTTAAATAGCAGTCATGATTGTCCCTCCCCTGTCTGGGCCTCAGCCTTCTCATCCAGCTGCAGTGGAGGTTTCCTTGGGTTCATTCTGTGACACTTTGCAGAAGAGCACAGTGTCACTGCCTGGTGCCACCCGGGGCCAGGCAGCAGGCCCCCAAGCAGGTTCCCAT